TGCCGACAAGGCACCACCAACTCTCAAGCCGGCTCATGTCGATAGCGGAGCGGCGCGGCGCTCGCCGCGCCATTCGGCTATACAAGTAGAATAAGCAATAACCCTTTTCAAATCATTTGTAAAATTCCCGTAGTTGCCCCCAAAAAGGATGTCATAGCTCCCATCCTGGCACACTGTGTGAGCTGGAGTCAACATAGGATTTGCAGGTACATAATTGTCAGGATGTCCCAATAATACATTATAGCTTGCTATTCTATAAAATCACAGGCTCGCAGAGCGAGACTCGTAAGATTTTTCGGCTCATATGTCAATTTGGGTTTTTTCTGCGGAACCCAACGCACCCTCATTTTCCCCGCACCTGGCCGGAAAGATAGCTTCTATACAATCGCATTCAGGGTGCATTATGTTTGGGGCAAGACGGCTGGCAAGAGGCTTGGGTATTTGTGCAAGCAGCTGTGTACTCGTATGGACAACCGACTTCCGCCGAACATAACGCAGCCTGATACTGAACGTATACAAGCTATACTTGTGGCCAGTCACAGCAAAAATGAGGATGCGTTTTTTTGGGGGGAAGACGGTAGTTAGACGCTCTCGATTGCTGCTGATGCTTCCTAAAAAGAAAGGGATTGAATATTGGGAGACTGTCAAAGCAACGTGCGCCATTTATAGTATGCAGAAAACAAGCCATGTGCGCCACTTATAGTATACTAGACAAAACAAAATTCGGGGCTTGGCATGCAACGGTCCGATGCCCGCTTTTCAAAGGGAGCCGGCTCCCCATCTATCTAACCTTTCGGTATTGATATTGCGTCACAGATAAACACACCATTACCCTCACAAGCTGCCTTCTGTCAGTTCACAGTACCCATGAGATGGTCGGTGAGAGACAGAATCCGCCTCACTCACACGCTGAACCCCACCCCCTCATTTGATTTTGTTATGATTCCTCGCGAGTTCTTTCCTTCCTCCCACAGCTGATCTGAACATGGCATGGAGTCATAGAATTCCTCTGCGCCCCACCGCTCATTTGATTTTGTTATGATTCCTCGCGAGTTCCTCCCACAGCTGATCTGAACATGGCATGGTGCTACAGCTGATGGTTGACCCTGCAGTGCTACAGCTGATCTGTACATATGCCGGACCATTCTTTCACAGCACGCAAAAGTCAAAACGGCTTCGATGAAGCAGAAGGTAAGGTTAGTATAACGGACTTGATACGTGAAGCCAGTCCCATTCCGGGCCATACGTTACTGTCCACGTCTCAAGCAGGCGGCGGGCCTATACGTGGACAGTAAGCCATGGCTGAATTCGTGCTCGATGTCAATAGCGAGCCCAAGACAAGGGAGAGTCCTGCCTTGGTAATGTACTGATGTTCACTACCGTCTTCCCCCGAACACAGCGCACCCTCAGTTTGATTGTATGTGGCCTGAAACACACCCTGTATACGTTTGATCTTCGGGGTGCGTTACGTTCGGGGGAAAAGGTGGCAGTCTAACCGGTCGAACTGCTTCCTCTTAACGCCGTGAAAAGGCGGCTCCCTGCAATGCCCATCTTTATGTCGCATTCTGTTCTTTTAACTGATGTGCATTCCAATTCGAACTTTGCTTTCACCATGGTCTCACTCTTTACTTCCATCAAGCACGGTGAAAGCACTTACCCATGGTGAAAGAACTACACACGTTTCACCGTTTGCTTTCACCATGGCTTCACTCTTTACTTTCACCAAGCACGGTGAAAGCACTGAACCATGTTTCACTGTTTCTTTCACCATGGTTTCACTCGTTACTTTCACCAAGCAAGGTGAAAGAAATGAACCATGGTGAAAGCAATGAACCATGTTCCACTGTCTGCTTTTACCATGGTTTCACTCTTCACTTTCACGGTGAAAGAACTGAAGCAAGGTGAAAGCACTGAACCACGTTTCACTGTTTGCTATTACCACGCACGGTGAAAGCACTGAAGCATGGTAAAAGCAAACAGTAGACGGCTGCTTTCAGCATTGCAGTGAAGAATGGCGAGAGGAAAGAGTGAAAAAAGTTTTCAATGTGGATGGGAAGATAAGATGCAGGTTTTCTTTGTTGGGGGGGAGGGGCGGGGGGGACAGGAGCAGGCGAGGAGGGGAATGACAAGAGAAGTAATTAAACTGCAAGTGGAGGGAGTACAAACATTCAGGGTTTCAGAATCAGACTAGATCCAAATTAAAAAAATTAGTGTAAATCCCTGCATTACCAGCCGGACGGGGCCCGGTTTGCCGCAGATTGGCCCGGGTGGCCTGGCCGGCCGAGCACCGGGAAAAGTCCGGGTCAAGGTCCCAGCCTGTCCGAGAGCACAAAAACAAAAACGAAATTAAAAAAAATTGAAAAAAAAACTACGCCATGCAGAATCGCAAACCAAACATCGTTTGCCCGAGGGCGACCACAACATTCCATATGGAATCCCAAAAAGCATGCAAAAATAAAATACTAAATTACATCAACCCCTTATCGGCCCCGTAAGCCCCTCCGAGCCCTTTCTAAACCCCACTCGTACTGCCTGGACACCCTTTGGAGAGATCAACAAAATATAAGATAAGGCCTGATTTGGGCACGTCTCCGTCGGCGAAAAATTGCCCCACTACCAAAGAAAAACCCTCTTTTGGTGTTCGTCCGGCGGGTCCCCCGCGTGCAAGTTCACCTGGGTCCCCCGGCCCGGCCGGGCGGCACGGGCCGGGTGTCTCTAGCAACAGACACGTAAATACAGTCAGATACGCGCAGGAAACAGCGAAGTGACGAGGTCCCACTAGCAAAGTGACTCGGATCGAACGCCTGTATATGGACATGTTTTACGCAAGCGATCCAGAAAAGTACGCCCAATCCCGATTTCCTGCCCCTTCTCATAAACAGCTCCAGATTCAAGCGTTACAACTCTTATCCTCTTCCCTCGTGGGACCTCAACCCTGCTGTGAGTACACTCTTCCCATACAACCACCACATTTGTACGTTGTCTTTCCAAATAGCTGTGGCTCTTTTTTAAGAGCTAAACGTGCTGAAAAATCCTCTGTTTTTTTTTTTCTGTTCTGAACGAACCTGGCGCATTTTTTTGGGTAAAATTCTCTTGCTAATCTTCTGATATCACGAAAGAGTTTATACTTATAGTGAGAGGCAAAGGAAGAGCGAAAAAGTTCCCTCTCTCCCCCTGCCCTGCCCCAACGTGAAGTCTTTTCTTTTTGTTGAAGAGGTAAATCCGTACCATCATCGCGCCCTTTTTAGGATTTCAGCTCCTGACCTGTTGATTGACAGTGGCATGTATGTACCATTCAGCCATTAAGGCAAGGCAGGTACTCCCTACCACAAGTCGAGAGAGAGGAGAAAAGAGAGAGTTCAAAAAAGTTAAAAATTCCAAGTGAAAAAGAAAGGGCTTTCAAGTGCGGGGGGGGAAGGGCGTGCTCTCAAGTGGTTTAGGGCCCCTCGTTCGACACCACTGGAACTGTAGGGTTGACGAAAAGTTATTCGTTTCATCCCCCTCCCTCCCTAATGACCCCCCCCCTTTACGGTAATGTTTTCACTTTCCTGCACACGGTAACGTTTTCACTTCACTTTGAATACCTGCTTTCAAGTGTGCATACTTGAAACAACTCTCTAGTGCCGCTGGGGCAAAATCGCACTTGAATTCAAGGTACCGCCCGGAGGTACCTACCTTGAGTTCAAGTGCCAGCGGATACCGCCAGCAGTCCAAGTGGGCCTTTTCTTTCTTGTTTTCCGTTGTCTTTTCCAGGATTGGTCAAGCCGTGGAGTTCCGTTTCAAGTGCAGCCCGTTCAAGGGTTTCCTCAAGTGTACATGGAACCATAAATCGAGGTACCGTGTAAATTAATGACAATTTCTCGTTCTAGTGTGCACTTGAAACTCTTAATGGGAAAGGGTTTCCTCAAGTATTTTCAAGGGTTTCCTCAAGTATTTTCAAGGGTTTCCTCAAGTATTTTCAAGGGTTTCCTGAAGTATTTTCAAGGAATCAAGGGTTTCAAGTGGGGTCGAACGAGGGCTCTTAATGGGACATTGTGACATAGGTCATCAACCGTAAATTTGGTAAGATCCTTTTCGAGGTAGGTATAACCAGCACATTTGTCAGTGGGGCTTGTGGAACACAAACCACCTGGTAAGACTACCTCCTCCACCGGAATCGAACGCCCGGTCTTTATTGCTGCATCTAGACTGAATATTGTACTAAATACAGCTACAATGACCTAGCGTTCTATTCGGGTGGACCCAGCTAACCATAGAGTAAGTGCAAGGGTTTTATCCGACATCCCACAACTCTGTAGGACCTTTCCGTGTAAAGGGACGCCGGAGCCGGTTTCAAGCAGGTGCAGCTCTCCATCAATGGAAAAAGATGACCCATCATCAGCAACAAGCTTAATCCAGCTGCTGCTCTTATCACCAGCAGGACTGAAGGTCGCATCTGTCTTTTTCTTTGAGTGAAAGTTGCATCTTGATGTTCAGCACCCCCCAAAAAAAAAGGAAAATGGAGAAAGAAAAAGTGCTGAGAGGTACACCTTCAAAAATACCATGGGTTAATCATTTTAAACAGGACGCAAATATCCGCCGCAGGCCATAAATTCGGTTCTCTCTTCTGGTACTATGCATCTGATCATGATTCTCTGATGTTAACGTTTCGACCATTGTATTCCTGGGACTGGGACGCTGGACCCCTATTCCACCAGGATTGCTCCCCACCAAGAGAACGGAGGTATCGACGGCACAAAAAAACAGAAGCGAAAAAAAAAGGGCTCTCGTGTACGCATCACGACTGTCAGCGACAAAGCCAGGAACTGAAATCAACGACTCCAGCCCCATTCACACATGCATGCTGCAATAATAAGGGTAGTGTGGTGATATCGTCAGAGAGACGATGCCGCTGCAGCCATTCGAATACACAATATGAAATTGGATGATTTCAGCCCGCCCCTCCACACACGCATCCAGAAATCCGCTGCCAACGGAGGAGTTGAATGTAGGAGTTGCGTTGCACCTTTGAGCTTTGATTCTGTCCACATGTGAATAGCATGGCTATTGCAATGAAGAGAGTTCCGAGGCCTTATATCGTCACTCTCTCCAAATCCGACATTCCCATAGCCTTTGCTTCACATGACGACAGAATCAAAGCTCAATACGCATCATCATCACACCAGATCATAAGAGCCGACATTCAACCACACTGAAAACAAGACAAGACACTTCCGAAAAAAGTTAAAATCCTGGAGTCCTTCACAAAACCAGACACGCTAGAGAGTCTGGTACATACACCATGGCTGTCCAACACTCAAAAACGCGCAACCGATGCAACCGACGCACCCTGTGGACTGATCGAGGGCCAGACTGAACGACGGCCATTGTGGATCAGGGATCGCTATTCAAATCAGGGGGACAAGAAGTCACGTTAGGGCAAAACAGATGCACACCGCATGACTGATATAAAGAAAACAGCGACCGATGCCACCCCACAGGCGCACACAAAAACCATCTTCCCATCCTCCCACCCTCGTCTTTTACACAAAATCCATTTCAGGTTACGAATTTCTTGACGTCACGGTATATACTTCAGACAAAACTGCATTTGAGCTCACAAATGCATTACTGCACGCTGATTGCCCACAGGACAGGATATAACCAGCTCAGACACCCCTCACATTATGCCGCTGTCTCTCCTTCCCCGCAGTCCTCCGACGATCTCCCCCCCTCTCCTGCTCGTTAATCGTCATCTCAAAGTCAGATCCAGCGAGCCAGCCAGCCAGCCAGCCAGCAGGTACTTATACACACGACGGGGCTCCGAATCCGCATTCTGCCTCCCTCCTTTTCCCCCGCTCCTGCTGGTCATTCGACATCTTCAAAGATGGATTCCACGATCTCCTGCTGGTTAACCGCCATCTCAAAAATAAATCCAGCGAACACGCCAGCCAGCCAGCCAGCCAGCAGGTAATTCAACTGCACGACGGGAGTTCAAATCCGCATTCCGCGTCCTTTTCCCCCACTCCTGCTGGCTAATCGCCGTCTTCCAAGATAGATCCAGCGAGCCAGCCAGGAGGTAATTAAACCGCACGACGGGAGTTCGAATCCTCAAAAACGAATAGCCAGAGAAGCCCATCCCGATCAACCACACATTCTGTTTCATCCTCGCCATCTTCTCCCTCAGCTTCTGCCATCCTCGTTATTACGCGTGTTCCTTGACATCTAGATGTCGGTGACATGGAGACCTGCGTCGACCAGAGGAAACCAGACTAAATTAGCAAAACAATCTCTCTGACAAATAGCACCCCAAAATTGTTCTGCGTAAATACCCCATGATTCAAAATACAAAGAAATCATGCAAATCCTTCAACCCTACTTTTCTGCTCTTTTTCCTTTCGTTCTTTTTTTTTGTTCCTTTTTACTTGCAGGGGGGTGAACCTCTCTACTCACACCTCATTGCGGACCACGTGAGGATGCGTTTCACACACAATCTTTCTCTCTTTCTTTCTTTCTTTCTTTTCCAAAAGAATCACAAGAATACTGAGAGTTAAAAACTGGATTGATACCGAGTCTCTTAAATCATCAATCAGTCGCGTATGCGTGGCGACTACCATTTCAACATTATACAGGGCTGTACAAGATGGGGAAGCAGTTTTCTTCAGGCGAAGATCGACCGTAAACAACCAGTACAAGGCCCCACCCAAGGTTAGAATCCGATTAAGCCTCTCCTGACATTTCGGAGGCTCGGAACAGAGCGCATCCGAAGCGCCAGTAAGGAGGAGCGAGGGGGAGGGGGGGGGAGGGAAAGTCCCATGCCGTGGGGTGGCACTACGGTAGGGCCAGCCCTGAACAAAAGAAAAAAAAAAATCGACCCCCATCAGGCGGGCCCTGTCCCAAGTCCATCTAACTTTTCGGAGAGGCTCATTCCACAAATTCTCCAAATGCACAAAAATGGTTTACGCATGCCTTCGTTCGGAGAATTTGAATGCGTAAACAGCGTTGGTAAGTCGGTTATAATTTGAATTTCACAAAACAGGTCCGGGATATAATTTGCATTTCACAAAACAGGTCCGGGATATAATTTGAATTTCACAAAACAGATTTTACAATTTGAATTTCACAACAGAGAAGTAGAGGTCCAGGGTTCGACGCCGCACAGAATTCGAAATTACCTGGAGGAAGCGACTGCTTAAGCTTGTCAGCTTTGTCGGTATCCGTTACACAGAGCGTGTAAAGGTACTTGCGACATCGGACCTTGAACTTCACAACATCTCCCGTCTTCTTGATCTTGACGGCTTTGCAGCGAGAACGTAAATATAACCGCAGGTGGAAACATCAGAGTCAAGGATTTATAAACTGTGTCTATGGAGAGCGGAGGCAACATCAAGTCTCAGCAGAATTTACATTGGTCACTCGTCGTCATCTTGTTGTTGCTATATTCAAAGTACGAAGAAAAGAAGTCTTGCTTTTACTGTATGCCTTATGTCTCATTACGTTACAGGCAAGAAACAACGGAAGAAAAAAACAAAAAAAAAAAACAAAGAGATGCATTTACTATTTAGTTATTCCTTCCATATATCATCCGACCTAGGTTTTTCATTACTACGCCGCATTGCTTTCAGTTCTTCGCACTGAAACTCCCATGGCCTCTGCGTCCCTCTTCCCAACTGCCATCCACCCCCGACGCCGCTTAGTCCTTGCCCCCACTTCACGGATCCGATCTCCTCTCTCTCTCTCTCTCTCTCTCTCTCTCTCTCTCTCTCTCTCTCTCTCTCTCTCTCTCTCTCTCTCTCTCATATGAGCCACACTATGAATTTAAATCGGTTTGCTCATGAAGATTAGAAACACGCAACACAAATCGTTCTAGAACGATGTCGTTAATAAGGATACATCTTGCATCCTTCCGTCGTGCGGTTAGCAGGAAATCCTTGATCTCATGAATTTGCTTCGGCTGCACACAGGCGAAAACACACACGCCAAGCGATAGACACAGTTGTCAATCAATCACAGAGAACAGAACTACTAGATGGCATACCATGGCGTCGGAGCTGCTGCCGCAAAATTATAAATCACCCGAACAAATCAAGCACCCTGACGAGCAGCCAAAATCAGTACATACAGTGCATAATTTCTCAATCATAACTAATAATAATAAAAACTTCAGCATTCAAACAACACCAAGAAGAAGAGAGAAGAGAGGTAGCCTCAATTGCGTGAGCGGACGTATCGAGAGACGCGATGGGTAGGAAGGGAACAGGGAGAGAGGGGGATGGAAAACGAGAGAGAGAGAGAGAAAGAAGAGTGGGAGTGACAGTAGAGGCAAGCGAGGATAAGAACATGACAGGTGGCAGGCGGGCAGCTGACAATCGATGTGGCTTGATTAGGGTAAACATGGGAGGAGTTAAATTGATTGTTACGCTTTTGAAGATAGAGTCGCGAGACCTTAATGGCAGGGGCATTGGAGCGCAGTTGACAATCGATGTGGCTTGATTAGGGTAAACACGGAAGGAGTCAAATTGGACGTTACGCTTGGGAAGATTGAGTGGCGAAGCCTTGATAGCGGGGGGATTGGAGCTCAATTAGACACTGACAGACACCGTTGATTCGTCCCATCGTCAAAGAGACCCCATTGAGGCCTCCTCTCTTCTTTAAAGCGAGAGAGACTTGGTGAAAAAGCACTGGCAAAGAGAGAAGACCTCTCTTCTTTAAAGCGAGAGAGACTTGGTGAAAAAGCACTGGCAAAGAGAAGATTAGCATGGCCGCTGCGCAAGGATGACACGCATAAATCGTGACACAGTCGAAGTTTTATTTTTTTTCCTATCGAATCGAAAAACAATAGGGTTAAATCAGAGAGCTAACCATTATCCAAAGAACGGCGCCTCTACAGAGCCAGTATCTTTGCACACAACATCCACAAAAACATTATACACGAAGGGAAGCAAATACCAGAAGACGAAGCAGAAACGACGCTAACGATAGAGTGGAGCTTTCGTAAACAACAAAGACAAGAAAAGCAGAAAGAACCTATACACCAAGAGAAACGAAAAGGAAGGTGAGCACATTGACGACAGATAGACAGCGTAGAGAAAGACGATCACCCGTGGCTGAGAGTTACGTGAGGGCGTAGACAGCGTAGAGAAAGACGATCACTCGTGGCTGAGAGTTACGTGAGGGCGGCAAAAACTCACCATGGCTGCTGATGTCGATACAAGCCGCCTAGCGTAACGAAGACGAGAACGAGGAGGGGGAATGAGTGTCAATGGCGGATGCAAAAAGGGAACTTTTCCCAGCCAAGCAAGCAACTAGTAGGTAGGAATTGGCCTGAGGACGGAAACCCTAAGGCCGCACAGACTTTGGGCCTCGCTCCACCACTCTCGACATGCACAAGAGACAAAAAATATGGTGGTGTATCTTTCCATGTTCTAGCGAAGGATTCATTTTCATTCTGCAAATTTGGAGAGTAGTGGAGCGAGGCCCTAAAAAATATGGTGGTGTATCTTTCCATGTTCTAGCAAAGGATTCATTTTCATTTCGCAAATTTGGAGAGTAGTGGAGCGAGGCCCTTTCAGTCAGGCGAGGCCCACACGGACCGGCTGAGTAACCTGCGATCGCCTGTGTTTGGCAGTAGATCCTCGGATCCAGTCTTCGATCTATTTCGTTCGTCGATCGACCTCCATCCGACGGCTGGTAAGCGCGACCTAAAACTGGGCTATAACTGCCAGGGCTCGAGCAGCACAGCTCAAGGGTAGTTCGCAGCCACAAGGCTGCGCCTTACCGGTCGTTTCCTTTGCACCAAAAAACCGGTCGTTGGAAGGGCCCACTGGGAAGGGCCAAATTGGTCGTTGGAAGGGCCCTTAGAACCCACATGCACGAGGCCCAACTTTTCTCGAATAGAACGCTGCTTCGAATAAAACGAATATACATTGTGTCGAACACCAAGCCCATGTTTTCTATTCGAATTTCGAAAAGAAAAAATCTAGCACTCGAATAGAGCATCACCTCTTCTTCTTTTTTCCCGAGGTTAGTGTCTGCCTTTCTGCTCCCCGGTCACTGACACACTGCGTGCCGAAGGGCGAGGTTAGTGTCTGCCTTTCTGCTCCTGGTCACTGACACGCTGCATGTCGAAGGGCTCTCTCTCTCTCTCTCTCTCTCTCTCTCTCTCTCTCTCTCTCTCTCTCTCTCTCTCTCTCTC